CTACTAGTAAGGCCAGGAGCCCCTAGTAGCGTCCTTGCTCCTAGTAGTACGTCTGGATAGACAGCATTGCTTTCAAGTGGATTTCTTCAGCTTCACGTGCCCAAGCTCTGCTTGGACTGCCAAGCCTAGACTGTCCACAGCGCCCCAAACCTCAGAGTTTGTGTCAATTGGCGACCCATGGCACCCACAAGCAGTAGTTTGGAGTCAATAGTATGCATGTGGAAAGGGAGAAGAATCGAGGGTCAGGCGAGGAGCAAGGTGAATGGAAGGTACCACTAGAAGAGTACGCTGGTCTCATGGTACTACTTGCAAAGGACTCCAATCTCGGGGCCAGAAGTGCAGTAAACGCCGGCCACTCGCTGGGGCACCGGCACAAACAAACTTTCATGGCACAAGAAATGGATAGAAAATGATAGAAATAGCATTGATTTCTTCCACGTCTTGATTGCTTTGAATGCTGCATTACAGTATGCTGCTCTTCTACCATGAGTCTTCTTTTGTGTTACGAATGAGGCCATCACATCAAAGGCGCACGCTGCATACTTGGCCTGAGACAATTGCAGTCATGGTGCTGAAGCCAACGAAGGCGAAAGTGACTGGTCAGAGTGACTAGAGATACTGTAGAAAGAGATGCAAAGAGAATCGAGACTCATCGAGCCCCCCACCTTGTCACCACTGCTAAAGTACTTTGGCGAAGGTCGAGCAGCAGTTGGATCCCACCAACTGACAGAGTTCCACTGAGCAGGCCATGCACAAGGCAGAACTTGAGGAACTTCTTTCACGACTTTGAAAACAAGCGATGTTTCAAGTTATGCACCAAATCACCAAATCACTTTAATATACTTTAAGCTACTGTAGGATGAAGAATATGCAAACCTTCCTCCATCACATGTAACGGCATGTGCTCATGGTGACTCAAGCAGGTTGCAACCATCGAGGGTGGATGGGAAGCAATATGAAGCAATGACGAGCTGCAGGATCCGCGTCACTTGCTCTCAGAATAGCCCGCAACACCAGAGAAATGACCAAACTTGTTCCCCCTGTTCTTTCCGAGCTTAATCGACTAAGAGATGCGCCATCTAGAAATGAATGACGTTCCTCAAGTGGCTTGTGTTCAGCTGCCCTCTAGGGCCATCCAAGAACCCCACAGCAGGAAAAAGACCCAGAACAGCCACCGCCGCGCCATTGCGTGGCGTAGGGCTGAAGACAAGGTCAGAAGCTAGAAGCGCTTTTCATCGCTTTTCTATGCTCGAATAGTCCATGTTGACCTTCATGATGTGACGACGTGTAGTCTAATTCCAAGATTTGCTGATTCCTTATCATTGCCGGCGGCCAAATGCCACGAAAGGAGAGTGCAGGCCTTCTCGTTTAACAATATCCTGCAATGAACTCGTCTATTGCCATTGCATCGAAGATGTCTTGAAAAAGTTGCGAAAGCAGGCAAAGTGTGACACAAAAAGGCAAAGAATTGAGAGTACTTGACTGGCTGTTTCACAAATTGATGCTGACTTCTCCAACTCACTTCGCAGGGGGCATACTCAAGCCTCTTTGATCTCCTCGATCCTGAGTTTAAACCAAAAGACTGGAAGGCACTTCAACACTTCCTACGAGTTCCTAGGCTGCATGTTGTTTGGCCCCCATGATTAAAAGTGTGTTACTTTACACCCTCCCTCAGCTTTTCTGCGAAGAAACCCATCGGATGCCATTAGCCTGTCCACCTCGAGATGTTCCACGGTCCAGCACTAGATTTGCCCACCATGCAGTTTGAGGGCAAAAAGGAACGCAAAGAACGGAGCTATATATAGTCTTGTAGAAAAGGAATATCATAGAACAATGTAGAATCTAAGTCGTCAACTCATCCTGCTTCAGGCCAGGGCGTTCGTACTTTCTGGCCTGACAGGAAGGACAAACAAAGCAATCACAAGGCCGAGATGAGTCGACATCCTCGAATACAGGAAGGCCCGAAAAACAACCGTCATCAATCGTCTTTTGAGTTATTAATAGCAATGGCCTCCAACCTAATAGCGATGGCCTCCACCCTAGTAGCGGTGGCCCGATCATGTGCGAACCCTTGTGCACCTGGAAGTTCTGGTGTTTTGCCTTTGAGTGCATCGCCTGCATGAGCTGAGCACCCTGTAGGAGTGGTGTGTATGGGTATGTGTTTATTATGATGCAGCAGAAGTAGCACTCCAGAAGCAGAAGGGCTGCAAAGTTTAGCATCAAGAAACATATCTGATTGGATGAAAGCTGTGGCACCCTTCATCCATGGCCTCAAACCCAGGAGGGAACTGAAACGCGTTCTCTGCGAGCCGCGAGCATCTGGGTGGGTTCACTGGCCAATGCAAAATACAGCGTTGATCATCATGCATCATTAAGCCTCTATAAAGTAGCGTTGATCATCGGAGTCCTTCAGCATTTACACACCAACTGTCGTTACTTGTAAAAGAAGTTACACCAAATCTTCGCGCAAAAATATCGTAATCTAGCGCACTTTTAGGACGACTTCTGCGCCCAGAAGTTTTGGTGAGCTATCACCATATCTCCAGCTGTGCTTTGCCCTTGGGCAGAGCGTTCCACAAAGGCCTCAGAACTTTCGACTCAGACGCCCGCTGCCTCGAAGGGCGGAAAAATTGGGCCTGTCTGAACCAGCACAACCGGCCCGAAATGGCATCAGCGGCTTCACCCGAGTTCTGGGCTAAAACGACCGGGCAAAACGGCCCGGTATTGACACAACTCACTTGTCGCCAGCAACTCTGCTGTTAACAGCCGGGAGGAATCCAATGAGAGACATATAGAAGCTAAAGAATGTGTGGGTTAGGTTTCGGAACAGGTGATTTTTGTTGAGTTCCACAAGCCTAGCATAGCCTAGCCACATTCTGGTCTTCCGACTGAAGAGCCAGGTCACCTGATGTGACTTCCAAACCATTCCTCAGGGTGGGAGACTGAAAAACTCCCACATGCTGGCCTGTGACACATCCGCAGTGGTCTAAAGGACAAATTACTGGGGAGCTGAAGCAAATCCAACCCCAATCGCAGCCCTGAAGAGGGCAAAAGAATCGGTCAAACCATTTCAAACCTACTCAGAATGCTTCGATTTATATAGGAAGACCTGCAGCGAGGGTCTAACCTGCTCCGCTCGAACCAGGTGAGACAGTGAAACCCGCAGGTGCTGTAAAACCAATTCGCATCGCGCTCTCAGTGAGCAGAAACCCTGCAGCCCTGACCCGGATTTCAACCATACTACTTTTGACACCTGTCGCTACATGTCCATGAAAATAGTGTGCGATGAAACAACACCAAGAATACACATGACTAATGCATCATCAATGATACTGCTTCAGTCACAAATTCACACATCTATACTTGAACAAACCCCGAGAACATCCAATGCATCCAGGCTGCCCGCGGTCACATGACCTCAGCCCACATGCACACATACAGTCCACACTCAATACTTGACTGCCAGCTTCAGATTCTTTTTGCGTCGCAAGTACTGCGGGCGACCCTCAAAGAAACTGCAAAATTAAGGACCGGAAAGCCACACGGATGAAATGTTTGGTTTTTTGGTCAGCGGACGGCAGGAGCGGAAAGAAGAAGATTGAGAAGCCGGGAATGATGGGGGTAGATGTGAAGGAGTGTGTGAATGGGTAGGTGCGTGACTGGGTGAGTGAACCAGTGGGTGGTGGAAACAATGAGAAATACCAGAAGTAACAGGATATAATGTTGGAACACTTAGGTTTCCAATGTTGGAACCCTTTTGTAGGTCTGGAACGTCTTGACATAGCGGCTGTTAGCGGCAACACGCTGACCATATAGCTGCACAGTCGTCCTAGATGTCCGCATCTGCACCAAACCAGGCTTTCGCCCGCACACGCTTGGCGCTTTCAGCACCTTCCAGGGCATCGGCAGGCCAGCGCTTAGCATTTTTTAAAGGAATTGTGGTCAACCTCGCTGTGAGAAAATCTTTGGTTTCTCCTCGAGCTTCGCCTTCGAGAAACTCAACGCGACACTTTGCGCAAGACTTGCACGACCATAGCTTTCTTGTCACGCAAGCGCTCTTTGTGAATGGCTGAGATGGTTTTGACCGCCTCGCCCACAAACAAATTCAGGCGGCTCCGCAAGCATCTCTGGCCCCTGTCACCCTTGCTCTCAGCGCCACCCTGGGCTTTCAGTGTACTCCTTGCCATCCTTGCCGCCTTGGCCGCCCTTTCCTTGCCGACTTGCTCGTGGAACTGCCGCAGCAGGGCGCACGCTGGACTTTGGCCTTTAGACCCCACCATTTGCTGGAGCTACTTGCTGAAGCGGCCAGCTGCAGCCGACCTCAAGATTTTCTTCTGGTAGGTTCAACAAGTCTTCAGTGGCTGAAGGTTAGCCTGTCGGATTGAAAGCCCCCGCTACAGTATTCCAGATACTTCTAGTAGCGAATCAAAATGTGGCTCTGCGTCAACAGCAACCCCTGAAAAGCGTCCGAAACATCCAGGTGAGAATCTAAATCAAGCCGGCGCACCAAAGTCTGGAACAATCTTTCAGTCTTGTCTTGCGCTTCTCCTTGTCCAAGTCAAACCACAGGGGCTTTTCTGTGGATTTGCGCTTTTGGGCAAAAATATTCACAGCATAGTTGGCTAACTAAGCACGGCCCGTCGAAGGCTCCGCTGGGATTCTGGGCTATTGTAAAGCTGGGCTATTGAAAACACGTAGTCTCTTCAGATCCCCTTCTCTTGGCCGCGTTATCGTGGTTGGAAATACTGTGCTCGGCAAGCCCAAGACCTGCATCAACCAAAGTTTGCAATCCAACTTCCAAATAACCAGAACCTGGTTATGACCGGCTTCTCTTCGCAGCAAACAAGCCACTTGTTCAGCTCGCGACAAGCCTAAGCAACATCAAGCAACTATATAGCTATGGCAGCCCTATCCCGTATATCACCAGCAGCCTGTACATGAACGCGCTCTTCAAAGCATCTTCTCCACACAGCAGCTGCAGGTCGCAAGACAACTTGCGCCCTGCCGACCGGCCCTCGTTGCCCAAACCAGGTAATACCATCATTTCCCAGTCCAAGAAGCAAAACGAGGACTGCGCAAACTCCTCCGTGCAACCGGCGATCAAACGCCGAAACAACCGGCTACAATTCCGTGATCTGTTCATTCTCATCGTTGTGGCCTCTGCCTTGGATCGCTGTCTGCGCAACAAGATTTGCCTGATGGCTGCTGCACACCCAAAACAAAAGAATATCTCATATCAAACACCCTAAAGAAGCCCACAGCCTCTTTGCTGCAGCAAGGCCTGCGGAAACCGAATATGATGTAAGAAGTTGTTCCCATTTCTCAGCTTGCGCCAGCATTGCTCTTGTAAATCTCGGTGACAATGTCAGTGAGAGATTGACAACAAGCATCCCGCATCTTGCACGCAAGCGGTCTCAATTCCCGAAAGAACTCTTGGAGAAAATATGTCTGCCGCTGTGACGACATGGGCTTTGTATTTGTGGGACCGACCCTGCACAAGCCTGTCGTCCACATTCAAGGGAGTGAAAGACCGCATGCGCATCAACGCCTCATCATGGATATGGCAGCAGAAAGGAGGAATGGACTCTCTCCCCTCTTGATCTTTGCTCCGCAGACCAAATGCATTGAACAGGGGCACACGAGTAGCCAAAACCCAGATTGATTTTTTTCAAGCATCACGCACAGGGCCGATGTAAGATCTGTCGATTGCTTTGACCTCTTCTTCTGTGAAATCCCGGCAAAAACTTATCAATTATTGCGTTGGTATCTTTGGATCTGCGAACGCAATTCCGGCAATCCAAATTGACTCTGTCCTGCCCGCATTGGCTGTTCCAATACTTTGCTTCTGCAGCTTCCGCGCGAATCGGGGATCGCTCCTTCCGGCGTCCCATGCATCACGACTTGCTCAGCTACAATTTCACATATGTGGCATGTGCAATGCTGGTGCAAGCCCCTGATTCTTTGACGCCATGAGGGCAGTACTAGTAGTGCACGAGCGCATTCCTTTCCATGAAAATGTTCTTGGCCCAATGAATGTTCTGAGTATCCATGCAAAATGCACGATTCAGTGTCCTTTTGTTGCCTTCTGCCTGCCACTAATGGGTCTTGACACAGCAGGAAAGACACGCAACAAAACAGAAAAGGCTTCCATGATTGAGCTCCTAAGAGCACTAGCATGAGTGAAAGGCTGTGGTACAGAAGATATGGGCAGCCCCTTTTGATCCTTTTTAACTGTATGCCTGGCACGTGGCAGCGCTTCACAGTGCTCAGCTTCATGAAAACTTGCGATACCAATGCGCAAGCCTGAGGCTACGTGTGAGAAGACCTCAATGTGGACTGTATGCAACAGCTATGAGAGCGTATAAAACGCAGGGCAAAGCCGCAAAGGACCAAGCCGGCCACGGTACGTCAGCAAACCAAGCCAGCCATGGCAAGCCAGCAGAAACTCCCATCTCCCCCAGAGCGAGCAAAATGCAGCGAGTGAAAGTGAGTGAGAGAAAGTGTGAGTTGAGTTGCCCGTGATGAGTTGGTGTGAGTTGTGTTGAGGACGAGGAGGCGGCAGAGGCGGAGGATGCACAGTAAAAGTAAGAACCTCACACAAAGATATGGTAAAAAAGGTCTATTGAATTCGTTTGGCTCGTTTATCTAGCTCATTTGATTCGTTGAATGAGAGAAACAAGCATTTGAGTCCCGCACGGTCGCCTCGATCAAGCGACGCCTGTGGACCTGGGATTGCACAAGGTGTGCCAGAATGGAACCTTGATAAACCTTGAACTCTGTGCGACAGTTGATGTGCTTTTTGTTCATGCGTCTCTTTTTTGTTTCTCTTTAGACTTTAGATGTCCTTGTTTCTTTGTTTTTCAAACATTGTCTTCTTTTTGAGAAAGGCTACAGTAAGCTTCCCACCGTGAGCATCCCAGGTATTCTAGAGCATTCTCCGCACCTGAAACGATCAATCTTATCAAGCTTGTTCGCTGCAACAATCCAGCTGCACACACCCACACGCAACATGAAAAGGGACGCGGCTTGTCACGGCTTCATGTTGCGTGTTGCAAGAGAGAGCAGCCATTTTAAGCTTGGAACTCTTCCAATATCTTCGTCTTTGCTGGATCCAATCTCACCTCCAAAGCGGTGCTGAGAAGGCACTGTAAGTCTATTGGCCAAAAAGCAACAAAGCCTCGTCTCTACCACCTAATCAATGCAGAGGGGTTATGGTCTGGCAAGTGCTTCAACTGGCGCTTCTAAGAAATGCTTCTAGACTCTAAACAGAATCGTCCAAATCAAAACAATGAAACACTTCAATAGAGCGGTGTACAAAACCTCCTTATAAACTACATGGAAATGATTAACTCTGCAAAAACCTTGCGCGATGCTTGCCTTCGCGTCACTTCGCCACCGAGATCGCCCAAATCTAGTAACAAAGGGCATCGCTACTAGGAGCAAGGACACTACCAGTAGCTCCTGGCATCGCTACTAGCAACAAGAAGCTACTAAACAATATAAATATTTGTTTGATACAAATAATGCACTCACTTGAGATATGTTGCCGAAACCTGTTGAATGTTAAGGGCATCATGCTACCATGCCACCTAAGTCATGAACACATGCCAATACAGGAACCCAAAGACCGTCCAAAACAGTTTTATGGGATACAGACTTGTGGTTGGGTAGCCAACCACTCGTCCATCACACCAAAAACAATCGAAACAATGATATACACTTACACATAACTATATTGATAGAGCCAATCTAGTCACACAATGGAGACACGCGTGATTGGAACTCTCAAACAAAACCATGATGCAATAACTGCTATTGCATATGAAGCGGAAGAAACAAAACATGCATAGTTATTACAATTAACTCTCTAATTAATTACTTAATTCGATGTACTGTTTATTGTCTAGCAATGCCAGCCAACGTGTCACGGTGCGTACGGGTATGTTTGACACCGAAATAGCCATCCAACTCCTCTGTGGAACCATCCTGCCTGGTTCGCGTCTATTCGGATCTGCTTTTGCAGCAACCGACGTGCGGTGACAAACTGGCGAGAGATGGCAAGTGAGGCGAAGTCATCTCATGTCACGTTTAGACCCACAAAAGCATGATCCAAAACTGGGCCCGGCAACTCAAGAACCTCTGCTATGCGCGTGTCAGTTATATGTGCTAGGACCAATGATGATGATCCAAGTGAGAACAATGGAAGCTCCATCATGTGGATCTCCTGCGTTTGAAGTGGATGTAGAAATTCACATCGGTCTGGCTAAAGATTTGGTAAAAGGCACAGAAAGCCAAAAGAAACTGAAGATAAGCGTTGAAGAGCATGTCCGACATGTCCCTTCTCAGAATTCTTTGTTTCTTTGTCGCCGATCCAGGCCTGGCTCTCATCAGGCCGAGCTTTCGCCACCGGTAAACGCTTCAGCCACTGCTTTGAGCCATCCGGAGCTGCCTGGGCCGTACAGCATACAGCAGCGTTCCCCAAATGGCCTGCTCCAAACAGCTTCAGACTACCGGAGCGTACAAACAGCATCTCCAAGAAGACTACCACGATAGGTTGGAGGCCATCGCTCTTAGATTAGATTCAACTTGATTCAACATATCTTGGCGCTTCAATATCTTCAATCCACAAACATCTACATCGCCCTTGGGTCAGTGCATCCTCCGACACTCTGCAAATACTGCTGACCAGGCCACATATGCCGCCTCTACCATGATCTTGTCAGATGGGCTTACCTGAACAAAAGCTGGCGGAGCGAGTGCAAAGAATGGTTTCAGGACTCTCTCAAACAAGCTGTACTGTGCGGTAGTGGAAGAACATGAACTCAGGAAAAAGCACACAACGGACCTAGCACAAGCGTGTGCTACTCTATCATTTGGGCTTGGATCGGTTGTTGAAGACTTGTGCCAGACTTGTGAAGAACATTAACTGAAGTAGCACTTCAGGCAGCCCCGCCATCACAAGGCACACCTGGTCAACCACCCGCACCACCTGCAGGGCGGGAAACAAGACATGTTTTGGCAGAAATAGGGTCACGCGAGACGGCGAGGATCTGGGAGAACGTGTCGAAAAAGCATCACGGCAAGCACAACTCTACCTTGCCCGCAGCATCGATGAGAAGGGAAGACCTGAGCTTGTGCATACAAACTCAGGCAAGCCAAGTCCGGAAACTCCTGAAAACTGCCCGCCGATTGTCATGTTGGATGCTCGAAGGGTTGCAATGCTCGAACTGCGATGTATATATATATAGAGAGAGATTCAGTGTCCATCACGCTGCACTGAACAGAAGAACGTTGGCATTGCGGCATTGAGTACATTGAACTAGAGGATTCAGTCAGACCCTGAGAACTCATGCAAAACTAATAGGTCAAAGCAGAGCGAACAAGCTCTGCTTGAATCCATAATTTCGGTAGACTTTGGTATAACAGACATACAGGAAACTGCCAAATTGATAAGATTGCAGCTCGCCATGCATCAGCTCACGGCTGAATTCTTTGAGAGACCTTGACAAAAAGACACAAGGAGCATCACACGGGCAAGTATACAACGCTATTCAAGCTACAAAACGCATCTTTGTGAATAATGACAAATGAGCCACCCTTGCCCAACCAAGTGCCCAAACATGCGCCAAAACTGAGGGTGGAGATTGTCTAGAATCTAAATGAATATCCCCTGGCCATTCCTGCATTGCATAGTCTGCATAGTGCATACAACCATGGTGAAAACTACAATGGAAAGACAAAAAATACAGTTACAGTAACTCTGTCAAGCCATCCTCCCACAGCGTGGCCAAGAGTCAGACTTGGCCATACCCTTGCCAAAGCCTCATCTCAGGGTCCCACAAAGACTAGAACAAACACTTGAAGACTAAGCAAAGACTGGTGGGGTGCAAAGACTGGTGAGGCATGAGTCAAAGGCACAGGTCCTGATGACAACTCTGAGTTTCACAGGCACATCATGACTTAGTTAAATACAGTGGATATGTCAATCTCCTGGTGTCCGCATATTTGTGCCGATTTCAGATGCAATGCCAGGTATCGAGCATCTCCTCTGTCTCCTCTTCTGTCGTTTGGACTCCGCCGTAGCTCAGCAACTGAGCTGAGCTACAGTGCTGCCATTTGTTCAACATTGCGAGGCCAGGCCAAAGTGTGGGAGTCGAGCTGAGAGCATGTGCATCGGAACTCTCGTCAAGTTTGAGGTATGCTATTTAACGTTTGAAAGGCTTTGTGCCCGGTCCCTTGCTGCTTCAAAGACACGCTGCAAAAACCTTCGCTGGTTGTCTGGTGATGTGACCAAAGATGATGCTGATCCTTCGGCAATACAATGTGGCCAAAGTTCATCCAGGTATCTGGCTTCAATTCCATCTTCATTTCTTGGTCCCCAAACCGCTTCACACATGGCGTAAGCGATCGGGTCATAGCCCTTCAACTCTGAATGGATGTAAGGAAAATAATCATTCCGAAATCTTACCGTGCTAAAGTACGCCTCTGAACATTCTGCAAAGAACTCTTTGTGATTGGTGGCGGCATAATGTGGCTCAGGGGCATAACAGCCAATTCGTTCACTGGAATTGCTATATAGGGGAAGACTTGCAGAATAGGCAGTCAGAATGACTTGATCAGTTGGGCTGATATAGACCTCGTTCCAACTGCCTTGTAAAGGATCCACGTGGCAATTGTATGCGCGGCAGTCGCCACCTCGCTCAATGTGCCAGCGGTCGAAGGGCACCCTAGCAGTCTCTGGAGCCTCTGAGTGCATGTTTGTGAAGCGAAGTACAATGTCAGGTCCATGTTGCACGTCAGATTCCTTTATCCAGGCTTTGTATGCTGTCTTCATCATGTTGCTACAAAGTCTGGCTGAATACCATGACTCCAACGTCAGCCCTTCTTCGATATATCTCCCATTAAGTTCAAGTTCGCCAAAGCCTTCCACAAGCAGGGAGCTCTGACCCGAAGGTGAAGAGGCTCTTGCACCACTTGGGTTCCAACTTCCACTGACCCATTCCTGCCACGCGACCACTTTCCTCCCGAAGTCTGTAGAAGTCCGATAGGCCAACACTTGGCCATCCACCTCCAAATGCCAGCGGTCTTGACAGTCTGGTTTTGGCGTGGACCAGAGATCCGTGCATCTGCAAATGACTGTTGCTTTTGCTGTCGGCAAATTTGGCAGCTTGACTAAAACCAGGTCCCGATAGCTGCTGGCACCTATCAATGATGCTTCATCCAGTACAAATCTGCCATTGAGTGAAGCGTTCCTAAAGCCTGACATTTCGTAGGCTAGTATGCCCACATCAAGGCCTTCTATTTGAAATTGAATACTCTGCTCAGTAGCATGAAGTTTCCCTAGACTTTGTCTCCATTCGTCAAATTGATCTCCACGCTCTTGATAAATCTTGTCATGGTGCACCCAGTGGGAGATCTCATGTAGCAACTGGGCAGGCTGAGCATGCCTCTGTTCCAAAAAGTCTTGGACATCAAAAATTTCTACAGAATGTGATTTGCACGCCATGTATTCATCTGGTAGATCTATGCAATGACAACAGCAGCCTTTTTTCGAAGCACCGTTGTCCAAGTTCAACCAAAAGCAGATTGGGTACTCGTATAGTCGAGCAACAATGGCGTCCGGCAAAACTCGAACGATTTCTTGTAAATCGTCACGAATCACTGACAGCGCCTTCTGCTGTAAGTGTTTCGATATACGCTCGTCGGCATACAGCACGAAGCCAAGGACCTGTTGCTTCAAATAGCGCAGTTGCAAGCCGTGCTGTTGACCCATGACTGCATCCTGTGATGCCCAGTCTCTGTCGGCAAGCGCCCCTGAATCCATTGCTGAAAAGCTGGATAGGCGAAGATCCACTTGCAGAACACACAAGTAGTCAGAACTGATGTGTCAATATTATTGGTTGCCGATAGTTACTCATGGTTGCTCAGTGTTGTCTGTCAAAGCATGTTTATTACAATGATGAAGAGCAGGGTCTATTGAAGTGGTGGTCAAGACAGTGCTGTGAACCCATTGAAGACAAACAGTTCTTCACAAAACTTGGGTAACACTGCACCTTCCCAGAATTGGTTATTTCATATTCTAGTTTGGAGGCCATCGCAATTAGCTGAAGCTGTGAAGCCCCAGGTGTCCGACCAGAGTTCACTTCCTCGACCCTGTGTTTACACCTTCACCACCGCATTTCGCACCACATTTCGCTCTCAGAGTACATAGGTGACACCTATGGATCCCCAACTGAACAGTTTCTTAAATTTTAAGTAAAATTAGACTAGTTTAATTCTATATAATTCTATTAAATTATTGTTTCTAATAGCCAACATTGTTTCTAGTAGTACAGCCAGGTGCCCCTAGTAGCGTCCTTGCTCCTAGTACTAAGGCCAGGAGCCCCTAGTAGCGACCCTTGTCAAATGCGTAGTGACACCTATGGATCCCCAACTGAAAAGTTTCTAGGGGGCCATCGACTGCGAAGGTAGAGGGGGTACAGGGGCCAGCACTGTTTTCTTCATGGCTCAATCTTACAACAAGCTTGTCCGACGGTCTTGCAGCGAGATTTAATGTCACAACATCAAGCATATTTGTGTATCTGTTTGTCAGCGAGAATGTAAATGTGCATATCTTGGCTTGCCCAAGATTCTACTGTACAGGCACCATATTGTTTACCTGGTCCAATCAATCACTCTGTCATAAGCCTGGCAATGGGGAGTTTGGTCACAGGCCCAATTTGCGACCTCCGAAAGCCAAGTTGCCACTGAGATCCACATTGCGGCCATGGAGGTGTTCGATGAGGTCCTCAAGGAGTGTTCAACTTGGGACAGCACATACAGAGCCAACGGGATGAGCCACGAGAAATTTGTTGACATTCCACAATGCCACAAGCAGACCAACCGCATTGACCCACTAGGCTGAGTCGTCACCCCTTCCTTTTCGCTCATTCCCACGGGAGGCATCACAAGGCCAGAGACCTGGCAGGAAGGACAAAGAAAGCTATGAATTGGCTGAAAGAAGCAGTCCTGAGATTGGTTCAGATTTGACCCAAGCGAGAACAAACTTCTTGCTCAGTTGGATGAGTCGAACATATGAGAGGAGTTGCCAGCATTCCGCTTGTGGCCTCCTCGCTGCCTTCGGCCTTGAGCTTCACCTTGCAAGTGCGAGCTGTGTGGAACTGGCTGAAACGGCGCTAAGCTCATCAGGTGAAGGATAAAAGAACATATGAATGTCTATTGTGGTATATATACAGAAAATACCGTTGTCATCCCACACCCCCAACACCTTGTTCTTGTTGGCTTCTTGCTCAGTCATCCAGGCAAAGAACTTGGTGTTGCTCTTGCAGTCCTGCGGCTCCAAGTCCGAGCAAGTGTCCCATCAATCTTCTTCAAGTCCTTTGAGATTCAGACCAGGTACAAAAAAGTTTTGTCTACAATATTCTACAATCATATCATAGGTTCGTCTGCGTATGCAGGTGTCTGACTCTGTAGGCAGGTCGGTCGGGGGAGCCAGCGAGGGAGGGACAGGGAGGGAGAGGGAGGGAAGTAGGGTAACGAGCTGTATGTAGGTATGTCAGGTATGGTATAGTCGTTGTAAATTCCTGGGCAAGGCAAGCGCTTTTTTTCGATGTTGTGCCTTTGGCAGCTCTGCTCAGACCAGTCAGAGTCAAGGTCTGCCCAACAAACTTGCTGGATGAGCGCTGAGGAGGGATGATCTGCTCCATGGTCAAATGGCTTCAACCAGCCTGGCTTTCTCCCTGGTCCAAGCGCTAAAGTCTAGCTCCACACAGGAGAAAACGAGGAAGACTGCTTGGCAGTGACCCTCGCCAAGCGGGCTACACTGTACACTGGGCCCAAAAAAGAAAGTGATTGAACATGATATTGCGACTTCTCTTTCAATCAACCAACTGTAAATTCAGTGACATTGACGTGTCGCAAAAACTTCTAACGATTTACTCATATTCAGTCTTTCAGCATTGCAAAGCATTGCAGGGCTTTGTTTTGGTTTTGAACCCTGGAACTGCGTAAGGCAATTCGAATCGTACCACATCAAAAAATGACAGGAATGACATAGATTCACATGATGATGCCAGGTCAGTCTCTGCAGCAGCCTCCTACTTGTACCGCTGTTCCTGCGCGAAATTAGCGCGCTCGAATCGATTTCAAAAACCACGCTCTGCCAGATAACCCTCCGTTCATATGTATAATGTATATATATATATAATATATATATATAGTTATATGTGTCTGTAGTCATTATGTATCGATTATCTGTCTATACAATGATTTATGCAATATGATGCAATATGTATTCTGCATTCATTCATCATATTCATCCAAACCAATGAGATTCTGGATTGGTAGTCACAATAATGATTCCGTGAGCCAAGGCCTATATAAGCTACACGAGTCCTTGACTCGGTGAGAATCGAGTCAGGGAGCACTCTGCCGTTGACCGAGGCTCCCCACCCCAATAATCGCAGCACCACCCATCGGCAGTTTCGGCCGTAACTGGAGGCGCATCCTCAGAGAGATACGGTTCTCAGCTTTGAATCGTGGCATCGCAAGTAGGTTGGAGGCCAATGCAACTTGAGGCCAGGTTGGTGACGAAAGCTAGCATGGCTTGGAAACGGGATGTGGGAGAGGTATCGGAGAGCGCAATTCCGTGCTTTTGATGAAGGTATCTGGTTTCCGTGCGTTGACTTATATACAGTACAGTCAAATGAGGTCAGCTGATGCATTCCTGAATCAGAGGTGGGGGGGGAATTGAACCCGCGGGGGGGGGTTACGGTTACAGTCAAATGACCTAGTAGCTTGTCCTCTCCAATGCCTTGGTTGACGCATTCCTGAATCAAACGTGGGGAGAGTTGAACCCGGCGGGGTGGTCTACGCATGACCTGTTCACGCAAACGAAGATGGCGTAAAAATAGCCTGCTCAAGCTCCCGGCAAATCCGGTGTCGGAGATGGTGAAGAACGTCTGCTGTGCTCCTAGGTATTTTCAGATATGTTCAGTTGGATGGTTTCTCAAGCTTCAATCCGGCAAGCTGCATGATCAAGTGAGGCCAAAGCTAAAGAAAGGCTCAAACGATGCATTTCTAATGCTCTTGTTTGTGACGCAGTCGGTCCAAGGGCTAGTTTTCTGTCCAAGGGCTAAGACCTCCTGATGAGCATATTGCTGAGCCTCTCAGATCCTCTCGGTTTCCGGGCAAAGTGCGCTGAGGAGCCTGCCGCACCAGCAGTACGAAAAAAAGCGCCGAAGACCAATCCCTTTGCCTTTGTCCCTGCGTACCCGTTTCCATATTGGTTCTCAAGCACTGGCGTGCTGGATCTATATCATGTGGAACATGGATGAGCACACTGAGCAGGATGTATTTAGTTGTCAAATCACATACTTGACGCATGTTAAACATGTTGAAATATGTGTACAGTGAACTTCCGAAAGATAGAGTGTTCATTCATAAAATGTGATTGACAAATAGCCCGTTTGGTTACCTTCCCAAATGTGGGCTAAGACATTTTATATGTGGTTGCAAATATATATATATATACAGTATATATATATATATAAAAACTCGCCGGCCTTCTTTTGTCGATGCGCTCCGCAGGTTATTCAAGAAAAATAGATAATAGTTAGTAAAGGAATCACTCCCGGATTCCGGTCC